GTAATGACAATACAGCTTAGAAGTATATCCCAAGTAATACCCACATAAAATACATACGGTACATACCCTTAAAATAACAAAAATCTGGGACATCCCATTGATAAGGAGTCCAGGAATTTTTGAAACTCTTTAAAAGGGAATTTGTTTATCTGCTCTAAACTCTAATGAAGCTACTTTTCAAAATTTGGGAAGTTATGGACCGTTTTAAAGCATTTCTAGTGTTCAGTAGAAGCTGGAAGATAAGTAATTTTATGTCCAAAGAAGCAAACTGCCTTTCAAAGCCTTAAAAATAGCCACAGTTTTAAGGTAGGAACCTCATGCTGATCAACACGTAGGAGCAGACAGGGCTACTTAAACATACGGAGCCTGATTCCACTCTCCTTTATTCTATCGACTTCAATGCAGCGACTTCCAGCAGCGTGAAAAAGAGGTAAACTGGATATTAATTCACTTTCAGAACAAGATGAAGTACTGTAATTTCTTCAGGAAAGTTATTTATCTCTGCACATGAGACAACAATTGTGATGACTGCACTAAGATAGAAAAGCAATATTGAAGCTCCCAATACAAAGAAGATTTTTAATTATACCTGAAGAAAAAAAATACTGGCAGAACTCTATATATTTATTGGTAAGAAGAGACTGACCCTGGATGTCTCAGAATAACTCCCACCCTCAGCAACATACAAAAGAAATAAAAAGAAACATAAGCAAAGGTTAAGGATGCATTGTCCTTACTTTTTGTGGTATGTTTGCTTTTTCCTTCATAGAAAGGAAGATGAAGACTAAAATTTGCAACAAAAATGTTAATAAAATAGGCCTGAAGCCCTGCACGTAAAAGTTTTCAAATTCTCTTAATCTAAAATTAGGAATTTCCAGAACAGGAATACAGGCAGTTATTCCAGCTTTTCAAATGTGGTTTCGTCTCATTTGGGGAGAGTGGGGGAAATCAAACCTTTGGAAGCTTTATAAAACAAAATATTCTGTTTCAAATTTATCGATCCAAGGTCAGTCATAGAACAAAAGAATTCAGATCTACTTTTAAAATTTAGATAATCTAAAGATTTGAAATATATTACTCTGAATGCAGTGTTAATTTAATCATGAGACTTGTTAATATTATTGAGAGAGCTACATACCTCACTAGTTACGCAATTAAAAAGAGTAGTTCTGCAAGTCCAAATAAATTCACCGTACCATCCCTTAATGCAGCATTCTTATTCATATGTGTTTGACATTTATCAGTTTAAACAGGAGTGCCAGCTACTTTGCAATTGTGAACTCTATTAGGTTAGCAGCATATAACATCAAGGAACTAGAAGGGAGATATTACTTGATCTGATTTTTCTTAAGAGATAGGGACAGAGGGAGGCATGAAAAATGACTTCTAATACTTACTTAATATTTTCCATATGAAAGTGAATAAATATGTACTCAGTTGCCCTAAATATATGGGTCTACTGGCACTTCAGGTGCCCTGGGAAGCTGAGGAATGGGGGCTCAAAAATACGGCAGAAGGCTTGCATCTTTTTGGACTTGTACCTGGTGACTGGGCAGGATATCTCACAGTGCTGAAAATGACACTAGACGCCTTTGATTAAGCACCTGGATCACAGTTTATGGACATACTGAAGAGTTTCAACCAAAATAAGAGAGCTTTGCAAACTCAAGCTAGTTTTGAGAGTCCCTTCCATCCCTACTCCTTGATGTTCTTTTCAGCAATCAAATATGATTCTCGGGGAAAACCATGTTTTCACTCTTGCCCACTCAAAATTACAAAATTATATATATGAGAGCACAGATTTGCCATATGTCATCAGTCCTACTTAAGTCCTTAGTAGAATTATTATGTAATAACTGATCATGTTGCCTAGCTAATGGTCTGTGTAAATGAGACACTCGAAACAAAAGAATAGCACTTCAGAAATGCTGTAAATAACGAGAAGGCAGTACTGAAACCTATAAAGAGAGGTAAATGGAAGAAACAAAAAAGGCTATAGCACATCATGAATGTTAGAAATACCCACTGCTTGCCTGATAACAGAATTTGTGAAGCAAGAATGAATTGTTTTTCCATCCCTCATGCCCTTCTTTATCTAAATACTTCTCCCAGCAGTTTTCTATTAGAGTTAGTATAGCAGAGATAATATAAAATGGTCACGACTTTTTGGGAAATCCACAAGAGATCTTTTCTCATATCTTCTATAAGGAATTAGGATGGTTATTACAAACCCATACCCCATATAACTTTGTACAGTTAATCAAGAGAGGGAAGAAGGTGCCTGTTTATATACCAAATTCTTCTCAGTATCTGTACCTTCTGGAGGCTAACTCTGGAAAAAGAATAAACTCCAACCTAAAATGGCTTTTAAATAAGCACATGGGAAAACTAAGAGGACTGCACAAAAAGATCAAAAGTGATTTTTTGATTTTTTTTAACTTGTCTAGCAGACAGCAGAGCAGACAGAAATTAAACCTAAGAAGCTATGAAGGAAGAAATAAAGGCAACATTTAAGCTTTCTTTCTATGTTTTTAAATTGTTTCTTTTCACTCAAGGAAAGCGGAGCACAGGAGACAAGCAGAAGTAGCGACTAAGGACTGGTGAAGAACGTGAACTGATGAAGAATGTGAGCAGCACAGGCCAGTTTGCTGTGCTGCAGTCAGTTCCTGTGAAAAAAATAGAAATTTCATAAGGAAATTGTTATGATAAGAAAGAAGAATGATTAGAACAATGCTAGCGGAGCAGGGAAACTAGTGGAGCGAAGATAGGTAGAAGACTACACTTTAAAGAGGACATAGCATCTTTATGGCACCTTTTTGTAATACACTTATTTACACAAGCAGCCTAAAAAGGTTTAAGAAGGCAGCAGAAATTTCCAGATGGAAATAGAGTAATGTGTGAGCAAACCATATATTTCTACCAAGAAAAGGGGGAACAGCATGGTAGATAAAGAAAGAATAGCAATGTGGAGGGTAAAGACAGAAGACAAAGACGTTAATCTTTGTTTATTTCCTATTATTTAATATCACTCTCCCATTTGATTTTTTTTTTCTTTATTTTCTTTCATCTTACTTTGAAGAAAAGTTAATCAAAGACATTGTTATGCTACTGTTGGTTACTCCCCAATGCCTTATGTTAGAAGTAATTTTATTTAATTAGCTAGTGTTTTAAGTAACCCAAAATTTAAAAGCAAACATACTATTGGACCCTAAGGAAACAAAATGGAATCTGTTCTGGAAAAGTTAGGTTTTCATGAGAGAAGCCTCTAATAAGAAATATCCATATTATCTTCTGAGTCTGTGATATTCATAAGCGATTGCATAAAATTCTGAAAAACCCAGGAGTGCCAGCATTTTAAGAGGGCTCTGTATATTTACATAAGAAGCTTGAGAGAATGGGGGAAAACACAGCAAGCATGCAAACTCCCTTTAAAAAATAGCTTGCTGATGGAAGCAGCCTGTAGGGAGAGTTTAATGAAAGCCTCTTTGCCTCTGTCTTTCTGACGTCCCTAGGAAAGGAAGCGCTTTAACAGAGTTCACTGGAAATGGGACAGAATCAATCTTTCTTCCTTTCTTTCAGTTTTTGCAAGGCTCTAGAGGAAAGAAACTTTCAGGTGTTGCATACGGGAGAAGCATATACTGCCTTAATTTACTATTAAAGCATTGAACATTAAGAAAAATTCCTTATGAAAAAGACACTAAACAATAGAAAATGCTCTTAACTCACAGTTACTAATTTTAACCCTTATGAGCTTCTGAAATCTCCTGTCCCTGTTTTGTTTACTGATTACTACCAGATTGCTTGCTTTCAGCAGTACATTAAAAAACATGACTAATATTTGTCACTTGCGACTGAATGTCCAGTTCAGTGCATCCACTGCACTGTCAAGTACTCCAGATGCAAGCTCATGCATCATTTACTTTTAGTAGCATGACAGCAGCACAGCAAGAGCATTGGACAAATCTTAGGGAAGTTAAAGGTAAGATTTTTTTTCCGGACTTAACTCTTGCCTAGCCCTGCTTCTGTCCCTTCACCTTCAGGTCGCAGAGCCTACATGCAGGTAAAGAGTGCCAGATCGAGAACGAAACAAGGCCATGACTTTAGCTTTAATGTGGCAGTGCTTCTTCCACATCTGCAGCAACTCCCGCGCTTGGAACAGTTTAAAAATTTCTGGCTGCTTCTGCAATTTAGAGAGATCTTACATTTTTAGGTCAGCCTGCCTTACAAGCTACACTGACAGATATGCAGTAAACCTTTCAGATTAGGAGGCGGACGCTGTAACTCTCATTTAGAGACACAAAAGTTTAAAAGGCAAGAAAGTCGTCTTTACAGATTTTGTTTTTAAAACCCTTGTCTGTGGTACGTAATCCTCATGCTTTATCAAGAAGCTCCTGGAGTCTGGCAATACAGATGTAACAACAGGCTTCTATCACGTCTCACATTGGAGATTTTCAGAATTAAATACCCTAATCCCCTGTGTGAAGGGTTGAACGTCATAGCAAAAGATGAAAACATCTAACTCCAGAATTAATGTATAATACTTTTAAGAGAAGTTCTGCACAGACCCATGTTCGGAAAATATGTTATTTTTTAGATAAATATTCACCAATAATAAATGCAAATAGCTGATTATGTTCCAGAAGTACGATTTTGTCCTTCAATATTCATTGTTTCAGAAAACAAACAATAATCTCTGGACAGTCAACATTAACTTGTGGCAATGTTATATACAGCACAATGGATTTTTTGTTTGTTTGTTTAAAGGTTAGGGGTTGTTATTTGCTTGAGGGCTGCTGACAAAGCACTTGGCAGTAGGTACAACACATCTACAGCAAGTAGATCAGAGTATTTTACCTGCAAACATGCTGCAATAAAGTGCCATCATTCAATCAATACAGATTACTTAGTTAACATTTTCCTTAATGTATCTGGATCACTAGTTCATTAGATCATTACCTGATAAATAGTGTGGGTAATGAATTGAGAGAGTAACTACATACCTTCAGGAAGAACCTGCCCGATAACAATAATCCATTAGAAAAACTGGCAGTATCCTCTGATCTATTGCCCGCAAAGCTATGACTTGATGGAGAGTTTCATTCCCTCTGCTCAGCACTCCAGAAGAAAATCAGCACAATTTAAATATTTCTCAGGATGTGACAGCTCTCTAGATCCCTGGTTGCATTCTGTTCCCAGGGGTTGGCAATCTGGTGTTCCAGCGTGCACAGAGCAGTGAAGATGAATTGAAAAAGCTTGAGATAAATTAGGGATGGCTAAGTTAAAATTGTCTCTGCTCCCGAGTCTCTCATCTGCAGTCTGCAAGCCTGTTTTGCTGTGAAAAAGCTAGATGGCAGGCTGCCTCAGTGAGTTCTTCTTAAGCGACAGGGAGCATTTTCAATGAAGAAAAATTCTCCCATTATCTAAGCTAATGTGACTGCAGCTAAATCTAGTCTTAAGAGTGTCTACTAGCATGAAATTCTTTCTCATTGTTGCTTTCTTTCAAGCTACAGGTCAACGAAAAAAGAATACTATCACCCTACATATTTTTAGCTGAAAGAAATACTCAAACTTTTGAGCTGATAAATGACAGCACATTTCTTAATATAGCTGTGTCCAGTAATCTTAAATAGGGGAAATTTTTGCTGTGTTTCCTGAAATGTATGCATTTGTGCTCAGACTAACCTTGCAATGCCTCTTCTTTCTATTTTGCTTTTGATGGTTATTATTTCTGTGCAATTACCTTTATTTTGAATGCTCCAGGAGAGAAAGAGGCAGTATTCTCCTTTAGCTGACAAAAATTGAAATGACAGCTGAAAATCAGAACAATTAAGACATTTATCCTTAAGGGATGACAATACAAAAAGATGTGTGTTTGATGTTTTGTTATGCCTCCAAAAACTCTAGTTAAAAAAAAAAAAACACCACCTTTTTAACAGGTTGCTGATACTTATGAGTCACTTCTTCGGTTACACCGTCTTGCAAAGAGAGTAAAAGTGAGGTTTTCTAGATATCACTTTAGAGCCAAAGTTTTTGACAGACAATGTCACTCATTTCAAATTGTTACGTGAAAAGTAATTTCTGAGAATAAATGATGGTTGCTACACAGTTCATGATACCAGTGATTTTCTCCATTTTGTTAAGATTTTGTTAGCCTTTAGGTGCTAACGCTTACTTTGTGAAACAGGGGCAGAGTGTGAGGTTCCTCTTCCTTTCTGCTCACACGTGTACAGCAGCTGCTGCTGAAACCCAAGAAATGGCTTGAAAAAGTCAGAACCTTGATTCACCGAGACTTCACTGCACAAAGTCCCACCTGCAAAGTTCCCCAAATCATCCCTGCTGTGGAAAAGGGTAAGGCTTGATGGAGTAGTCTTCAGAACTGACAAGCCACCTGCTGGACCCAAGACAGGCTTTGTTTGTGAAGTATTTATGAATTTTAGAATAAGTATCACTCATGTGTCCCCTCTCTCTGCAACTAGAGCTTCATGCGACTACTGTCTTCTTTTAGAGCCCCAGTAACTTAGGTCATGAAGCTACATCAGTATCTTGGCTTCTATTCAAGAACATCTGATGCTTGAAGCAATTAAAAAATGTGATTTATTATTTGTAATAGTATTATTTTAGCAAGGTATAATTCATTCATGTTTAATGAGTCAAGTCAGTAATAAAAGAATTTCAGTTGCTAAGAAGTTTTTTGTTGGATTTTTGGCTGTGACCTGAAAGGAAGTAAGGGAGCAATTTAGCCAACAAAACGAAGTAATGTCTCAGTTGAATTCTTGACTTTGATCATCTGTTCACCTCAGGGTTCTCTTCTGAAGGGAGAAAGCAGAGGAAGAAAGAAGTGAAACTTCAGTACTAACAACTATATATGTGTTTTTTTCTCTAGTGAAAGAGGTTTAATGAGCCCTTAAGGGAGGCCAAGCCACACAGCAGGGAGGAGTCCGTCACCTTATAACGTTTCAGAACAAGGTGTGGACTGCTAAGAAATTGTAAGACATTACCAGGAGAGAAAATGAATGAGGCTTCCTCCTCCCCCCACCACGAATTATCTACTAATAGAGTCTAATCACTATTCAAAATGAAATAGAGGGTCCCAGATATTCAGGTTGGAAGGAGAGATGACTCTAGTGGCACAGCACACACTAGATATTTCTATTTTGCTGCTACTCAATCACAGAAACATTTTTCATGATGTCAAAAGAGAGCAGCATCCAATGTTATTGGCAGAAGGTTAAAAAATGACTGTGGAATGGTGAGTATTGCTGTAACTCTGTGATGTGATACCTAGCTGGATAACAAAAGTTTTAATTGTTTTAAGAAAACTTTGACCGGAGTATGTTTCCAGGTTTGCGTACCTTAGAGCTTTAGCAAAGTTTATTTCTAGAATCAAAATTTACACACTGCATCTATTTAGTTTTTAAATTTGGAATAATAGTGTGAATTGAGACTTACTCGAGAAGATACCCAAAGAATGTTATAAAACTGTCTATACAATAGGGTATGCTAAATGATTTACATTTGACTAAATCTTCAGAGCTACAGCTCTCCTCAGCTTGGTAATCCTCAATGAGGAATAAATAAAACCTTAATTAAAAAAAAAAAAAAAAGGACTCATCTCTTCTATTTCCTCTTCATTCTTCACTGGAAATAAAGCAGTAGTTGATGAATTCAGAACTTTTTTTCATGCTTCACCCTGCTTGTCTTGCATTAGATTATAGTAGTAAAGTGGAACATCTAATGTGGAACTCCAGTGGGAGCAGAGACAGACATTTCAAAGATGAAAACTTCAGAGACAGCAACACAGGGGTGTTTTTGCTACCATACATTATATATCATATGGATATACATATATAACAACTTTGAAAACAAACCGCGCAGCGAACATAGAAAAGTTTACTAAGTTTTTACACGTAGCTCTTTTCATTACTCTGTACTGACAAATGTGTGGATTGAACTCTTGTACAATTTAAGCTGCAGCATATGTTTCTCCAGTGTTTGCTTTTTATATATCTATCACATTTTATTTTGCTGTTAGCATATGCATGTTTTTTAGGCCATGTCTTGTTGTTAGCTTTTCTTCCTCATAAATTCCTGGAGGACTAGGTCTGGCTGAAAATAAAACCGTTTTTAATAAAAAATATTTTCTATAGCATTAAGATTAATGGTAGAAAATAACAGCCTGCTATGAATTCACCTTAATCAAATGTACAGGGACTACCCAGTCTGCTCTTTTGCCAGTGGCCTTCATATACTAACAACTTGTAGAAGGGGGAACAAGACATCTGAGAAATAAGCACGTAAATCTGAAGAGGAAATTTAGCCATTGGTGTGCTATTTGGGCCTGACTAGGCTACCTCGGAGAAAGAATTTACTTAAGCCAGGCACCTGTCCCTAGAACAGGGAGTGATTTAGCTTAGCACCAGCTGAAAGGCTCTCTTCAAACTTGTCTGCAA